GCGCCTCCGAGCATTCAGCTTCCCTACACCTTAAGCCAGTATCTAAGCCTTGGTTTCCACAATTCTGCCTCTCTCCTTTTCTTGTATTTATGTGACTGCAGAAGCAAATTGTAGTTTAGATTTCTACCAGATTACATTCCCTTAGCTGGCTCGCTTAAATGCAATTCTGGTTTAGGAGAGAGGCAAGGGCACAGCAGCCTGGACTTAGAGCAGTGAAAGCTGCTGTGAAGGGGCACCCCAAGATCAGATGAGGTACAGAACAACAGAAAACATCGGTCACTTAGAAATACACATCAAATGTGCTCAAATTAAAATAAACCAAGCCACAACTATTCTTCAGGGTCAAAACATAAAACGTTTAGAGAACAGAGAAAGGACAGAGGGGAAAAAAAAGTACAGATATTACACCACAAGTTCACTTTAACAGGATTATTTGGTGCTGAGAGCGACAATATTCTTAAGCAGTGCATCAGAAATACAAATCTGGGTGGTCTAACACTGGAAAAGGCTTCTTAAAGAGGTGGTCGATGCCCCAGGCCTATCAGTGTTTAAGAGGCATTTTGGGCAGCCCTGAAGTGCTCAGGCAGTTGGAGCAAATGATCATTGTAGGTCTTTTCCAACTGAAATGGTGGTATTGTGATAAACGGCCACATTTTTAGGCTGAATTTTCTGGCCTTCACCAAAAACCCAAGCATTTTCAGAAATGCTGGGACACTTGCACAGATGTTATCCTTATTCACCCACTTCCTCTCTGTCCTTTTAAACTCATTGCTTGTACTCGCACCCCAAAAGGTAGCGCTTACCTGTGTTCTTAAACCCAAATGCGAAGCCAAGTCCTCCAGCTGAATTACCTTTGTTTTCTATGGAGACAAACAAGAGTTACATGCAGCTGATGATCAGAGGGTTAGCATATTTCTTTTAAAAAATGCATTTAACGGACAAAGCAGAACCTATCACTCTAACTTTCCCTAGGAAGCTCTTCTCTTCAATGAAAAACACTGACTTAAGTTACTCTGCTCTGCGGAAAGATGCTTTGACCCACTGAAGGAGGATAGGAGCATAAGCACAACAACCAGCCATGGCTCAGTCCCTGCCACCCGAGTTTCTCAGCTTCTACCTCTAATTTCTTTAACAAGATCCCTTTTTTGCTTGAGAGATATTTCGAGGTACCGTTTATCACCGGTATAAATGAGCACATACATAAAAATCCAGACAAGACTGACGGCATTAAATGCTTTAGCCTGTTTTACTGATGTCATGTGTGTTAATGCCATAATAATCTTCCTAAGCAAGCAAACACCTTCTTAAAGTTGTCAGTGCTGTAGCGCGATGATCTGAGAGCAAAGGCAGAAGCAGGAGCTGCAAATTTTCACTCTGCTTTGGCAATTGATTCTCACTGCAGCCTCTTCTCTCAATCAGGACACAGTCACCACTGCTCACATCTGGTTTTATGCTGGATTTTTAACAGAGAAAACACCTGGTGCACTCATCTGGAGCTACTTAGTTCCTGTTTTCTCATCTGCAAATGTTTTAGAAACTCATCTGTTCAGATGCAGGAAAGGATGCACTGTTTGTAAGGAATTTGGAAAGTACCAAACTCTTGAGAACTCTTCACTTAACATTCAGGGCTAACAAGAGCTACGTTTACATTATCAGATACAACACTTCAAACCATAAATGCATTTGTTTCTGATCCTGAGAGTACGCTGGAAGGACACTGAAGACATAAAGAGAGGCTGAAATCGCTGAATCTTTCTCATTAATAAAATCAGACCAAAAAAAACCACATAAAGAGACTGAGCAGTTGTGAAGTTGGATGCAGCCAAGCTAGAGAACTGAATACCATGGACTGAACGCCTGGAACTGGAACCAGTCCATGGAATTCAGTTCTCAGAGCTGGGAACTGCCAGGATCCGCCGTATCTTCTCTGAAAAAAAAGGATACAGAGCCACGTAAACGAGAAAAACAGGATTTGAACCTTCACTTAAAGATATTCACCCTCAATGACCAAATTTACTGGAGGCTTTCCAAGATAGGTCCTGCTGTGAATGAGAGCCCAGAGGGTGGGGTGGGATTAGGATGCGTTTCCCCATGCACGCTCTGAAATGTAAGGACATTGTGGCAACAAAACACTTCACCACATGCTTCACGTTTGAGGGACAGGCTTAACTTTCATAGAGCAACAGACACACATCCCCATTTTACTGAATTAATTGAATTTTAGGTATGATTCTGCTGCTGACGATGGAGAGCAAGACCGCAGCAATGCCACAGCCTGAGGTGTGAGGTGGTGACGCTGCAGTGGTCCCATTGAGTTGGAGGGGCTGCTAGGAAAGCCTCAAAGGAAGGGAGATGCTCAGCTTTCTGAAAAGCAGAATTAGGGGGTGTCAATCCTTTTGCTGCCTTTAGGAAAAATCCCATTCCAAACAATCGCATGAGGCAGAGCTGGAGAAAAGAGGCTGTGTTTTATTTTAAATACCCTTAGGAATGAAGTATGGGGTGAGCTCTCTCTAGCCAGTTATACCAGTAGAATAAATTATTCAACAGAAGAGCTAAATTCAATTTTATTGTTTTCTAAATGCCAATTGCTCCTTTAATTTATATGTTTTTCAGACAGCTATTAGCAGCTTAGCACCGCTTCTTGATATAAGCCAACGGTTTCTGTGAACAGGACAGAGGATGAGGGCAATACATTAATCTGCATTAAGCATACTTTCGAGATTTAAAAAAAAAATAATACTAAAACTTGTAAAAGAAAGCAGTGCCCCAGTTCTGCAACTCATCTCTCCTTAGGAAATCAGGTGTCAAAGTGCTTCTGCATTAGGTTTTCAGCCTATGCTTAATTTCTCTGACGTCAAGTAGCAGTGACTAATATAAAACTATACATTTGTGCTTAAACACCGAACTGAGAGTTTGTGACTAATCCGTTCCATCTATCACAACCACCAGGGCAACGTGCAGAATCAGGCCCTGCTGAGGTATCCCTTGGAAACCTCCCAATTTTAGGGCAAGATCCCAAGAGGCGCTGAAATGGCCTGATGTTGTACCTCCAGGTATCCTAGGGCAGCTTGTTTATCAATAAACACCAGCACATTTCCCTTAATCCACAACTTGGTGGTATCTTGAAAGCCATAGATGGGAACGGGTGAATTGGGATCACACTGTACCACGTAGTTCATTTCCACAGTCAGTAATTGAAACGGAGGGTGGTCTTAACAGATGTGGCCAATTCCAAGCTCCCCTCCCTTTCAACAAAACCTCTCTGGCTTCTGCAGAAAACAGAATATTGAAATTGCTGCACGGCTGCAGCGTGAAACGTGCCACCTGATGGTTCAGCATCGCTGCGTGGTTTTACTCAGGCTCTTTGAACACATCACCCATAGCTTTTCCAGTTATTCTCAGCTGCCTCATTCGCTTTTGGTGGCGATTCTGATCAGGGTTGACTGCTTAAGCTGGGGCTTCAGTTACTGACCAGGGGCTGTTTTCATTTGGCTGCAGTGATGAAGGTATATCTAAAGTCTGAATGCCACCAGCTTACACATTTCCAAATTACCCTCGGAGATCCCGTTGATCAGAAAGCAGCTGGCAGATGCAGACCTAGCAGCCCCTGTCACCATAGCCCGATGGTGATGGGATGCAGCACCACAAGTCCTGGCGATGCAGCACCACAAGTCCTGGCGATGCAGGCGGCTGAGAGCAGCCCAAAGATGCTCACCCCGTGGCTTTGCATCAACTCGAGAAGGATCAAGCCATCATACAGACTTGCAGGGCAATAATTCATATTGATTCCTTGCAGAGAGTTACCCATGAGACAAACCTGTAAATTCAGGCTTTAGCACCACAAGTCCTGGCGATGCAGCACCACAAGTCCTGGCGATGCAGCACCACAAGTCCTGGCGATGCAGCACCACAAGTCCTGGCGATGCAGGCGGCTGAGAGCAGCCCAAAGATGCTCACCCCGTGGCTTTGCATCAACTCGAGAAGGATCAAGCCATCATACAGACTTGCAGGGCAATAATTCATATTGATTCCTTGCAGAGAGTTACCCATGAGACAAACCTGTAAATTCAGGCTTTTGCTGGGGTAATGGACATGTAAAACTGGTCCAGAGAGGGAGACTCTGGATTAACAAAATCATTAGGAACCTGTGAAGTATGCAAGCGATTTGGTTTGCTAATGAAGCCTTTCCCACACATGCATACATACATTGTCAGGTAAGAGTCTGGTTTCCAGTAAAGGAGGAAAGGGATTAATTAGGACAAATTATTTGCATAATATTGTTAGAGAAGAAAAATGCATTTGACCTTTGGTATAACAACAGCGGAGAAAGAAGCATTTGTCCTTATAGATCAAAAGTAGAAGGAGGAGAAAGATCAGTGGGAGCTTACCTTGACGTATTCAAGAAATTCCAGTAGAAAGCTGCGAGACTGGATAGAGCAAGGAGAACAATTGTTATTCTACAGTCACCAACATTAAACGCATCACAAACTTGCTGAGTACAAATATTATAAAAGTGTCTAACCCGCATACTCCTGAAGTTTGAAACACACACACAGAGGGAGATTTTGAACTGGGAAGAAAAACAAATCTAGATTTAATCTTAAAGAGGCATTTATGACAGATATTTTTCTAAGACAGAATATGGTTCAAGCCCAATTTAAGTGTTTTCTGAAAGGACATATTTGAATCTTCCATTCTTCACATCATACCCTGAAACAACCACATCTGGGTGCATTTGTGCATTGTTTATGAAGTTACATACACACACTGGGGACACTGTACAGAGGTAAAATACAGAGCGATGCAGGAGACAGCTCGTGCAGATGGTCGAGTGTAGCACGCAGCTGCACAACACATGTGGAAGCTCAAGCCATTTTCAAAGCTGCACACCTGAAATCAGGCATTTTAATATAAGCGGCTGGATTTTCAAAGGCAATGCAAACAATGTGGATTTAACAGGAGATCAGGTTACTCTGCAGCCCTGGAAATCAATCAGCCTTAATTAAGTGCTTAGCTCTGGACTCAGGACCTTAATTTTCAGCATGAGTTTCGGCAAGCCAGCCTCAACAACACAACACAGAGTCAGCTCTTGTCACAGGATACTGAAATGATTCAGTCCATGACCCGCCACAAGGCAGGAGGGTGGCTTGCAGGGCTGGTGTCCCCAAATATCTACGATGGTGTCTGAAGATGGCTTTCATATCGCCTACTACTAAAGTTCTATCTCCCCATCCCTACCAAAGGTATCTTATGTTGAGATCCAGGCATCGTCAACTGCCTGCCAGGCTCTTTTGAGTGAGAAACACCCTTCTCTGTTTCCACATTTAGAAAGATTAATTTCTCCTTGACAGGCAGCTGTAGGAACACAGGCAATAAACATATCCTAGCTTTAAAGGGAAGTTAAAGGTGGAAAAATATAATATTTAGGTATAATCTGATCTTTCTGGAAGGAACTTTCAATAGAAAATGACGCATTTTGCTGTTCTCTGCATCTTAGGAAGTTCCCCATCACCAGATACAACTTCTCTTGGTGCTAACCCTGGCACGATGGAGGAATTCATCTCAATGGGAAGGGTCCACAGTGAGAACCTGTGACTAACATCAAGCGGTATTGACTCCTTACACGCTCCTCAGCACAAAGCCACTCTTTGCTACGGGCAAATCTATTCAACACAACAGGGTCATTTCAGCAAAGGAGCAAATGCACACATGGCCCTGAAAAAACTACTTACGAAATGCATCAGCCAGCTCAAATTTGGCAAATCCAACCCAAGAGTAACTTCAGCCTTTGATAGCAATTAAAATTAGTCTAAGGTTTTCAGCAGGGTAAGAGCACCGCCACCCACAGCAGCGGGACTTTTTTGAGCTTGCTGTGCTATTATGTCAAGTGTCACATCTCAACCCCCGACCCCAGCAGCCACAGGAGGAGCACGCTAGGACCTCACGGAGAGTTTGAAAGATTATCAACCACAGCAATCGTTTGCAACACAATGGACGGTTTTCCAGCGTACAACCCACAAGCACCTAGGTTGTGTCCTGTGAATTCTCTTTACAAAAGCCTTTTTAAGGGAAGACGTTGGTTTTTCATTTTGATTTCACAGCAGCTCCACTGGTCTAGAAAATAAAACCAAAACCAGCAATTCCTCCCAAGCTATGTGGGCACTTCCAAACTCCACATTTAGCTGTGCTTTCACCTGGCCCGCTGTAAATGCGTAGAGCAAAGCTGAAGACAGTAAGAGAGTATCTGACTTCCAGGACGAGTTTAATCTCAGTCCTTACATTAAGGGAGGAGAGGACACATTTTCAGCAATAAGTGTTTGCCTTCATACTCTGAACTAACTCGTAGGAGTCTGGAACGAGGGACTGTAGCATTCCCTGGGAAATACTCCAGGTTAACATGTGTCATAGACAGAATTTAGCTTCCACAAGCAAAAAACGTTTGGCTGACTCCTACTTTTAAGTTCATTTTAAATGAAACAGAATGCAGTAAGGGCAGCCTAACGCAGATAAAGGAAACTGCAGTAACAGCCTAGCATAGATACATACATACATACATACATACCTCTTCCTCTGTCATTGATTCTTCAACCCCTTCCTCTTCAACTACAAAACTCTCCTTCAGCTTCAGGTACTCTTCATACTCTCTCTTCTCCTCCTCTTCCTTTGCCTTCCTTTTTTCCTCTTCCTGAAGAGAGAAGATGACAAGTGGTCAGTTTGCATCTCCCCAAAACAGGTTTGGTTTTAAGCGAAGTAGCGTCTTCTTTATCTGCAGTCTGGTTTTACTAGGACAGATACAAGATAAAAAGCTTCCAAAATGAGTCTAAGTTCTCCCTTGATGGCATCATTAATTTCAGAAGCCATCCTTAAGGTAGTAACCACCTCAGATGGTGGTGTAAGCTTGCACACGAGACAACCAAGGCTGGCTCTTAACAGATCTGACACAGAGGAGAAAAATCACTCTTATATAGCAACCTGCTCTCTTAATTTGCATGAATATGCTTCTTCTGCAGATCCCGTGACAGGAAGTCCCTGCCCCTGACTGCACGTTGATGCAACATCCACATTTTCACTCGCTGGCCCCAATTCTGCCCTGACATGCACTGGTGTACACTGGGAGGGAGCACAAAGAACAGCGCAGTTACACTGATGTCCATCTGTGTGAGAGGAGAAGCTGGCCTCCAAGTTTCAAGTAAAATCACTGTCTTACAACACACAAGCAAACTGTGAATACATGGAATGTAAAGATCTGTACAAAGTATTTTAGGCACAGGAGACAGGGTATGATTGCCTTAAAAAAGGAGTTTACATGTTTGAGTGTTAACCAAAACCTACAGGCTCTGCTTTTATTTATTTGCAATAAAATACTGTTACCTACCTTGAATGAAATGTTAAAAGTCTTAAAACAGAAAACTCGAAGCCAAACATCAGTGAAATGGTGATGCATGCTAGGTCATGGGGAATAGTCACACATTCACACAGCAAAATCGTGATTAAAAGTTTGGAATAGGATAGATTACTTAAATGTTTCAAATAAGAACAGGGTTTTACTGGGAGCTCATCAATTTGCAGCTTGCCATGATTTTCTTTTAAGATTTGTTTTGCTCTTCTCCAAAAAGCTTTACATATGTAACTTTGCAGAGAAGCAGCAGACGTTTGTACAGCACCTGGTACAGTGAGATTCCTATTTGATGGGCCTTTGGTTGCTATCACACTGCAAAACCTTGATTAAAACCTACAAAGATGAGCTCTTCAAATGTCAGTGACAGCCCCTGGGCATTCCTTTACTATTAGCAGAGCAATTGGTCTCTTACAGAATAATTATATTGATTTCTAAATGCTCGCCTGCTACATCTTTGACACTAATACGGTAATTGCTTCCTTAATAGCTGGGAAGCAAACACTTGTGCCATTAAAACAGGAAGAGGCAGGAACAGGTAATTAAGTATATTGAAAAATATCCCTATTAAAAAAAAGATGCCGTGTAAGGCCAAAACCAGCGAGGTATCATAAACGGGGATGGGAGGTTGCCCTGTCATAAAAACTGCAGAGAAAGTGTATTTGGACCCAACTGTTTTAAATGAAAACATTAGACATCTAAGGCAGCTCTTGAGACAAAACAAGACCATTTTCTGGGCCATTCATCACTAAGGATTGTTAGCAAAAGGTCAACAGTAGATTTTTTTTTTCCCCTTACAAACTCTACAGGTGCCAAGAACAACGTAACCGTATTTCATCTGGAAGCGGCAGCAATTGTTCTTTTCTTGTAAGCGTATTAAATTTAATCTTGATCCTGGAAAGACAAAAAAATCAGCTTCTTCCTCTGGTCTGATTACAGAGGTTGTAACTCAACAGGATTTGAAATGAGAAGAGAAAAATAAGCACGAAACCTGAAAGTTGCTTTAGCAAAACAAGAATCAGAAGAAGACAGTGACCCATTTACAACTGAGAGCAACAATAACTAAGAAATATTTTCCCGTTTCTGGAAAGTCTCACAACAAATGAACGAGACCCATTCCTGTCTTCCCACGTGGAGAAAAGTACCTTCTATTTTATTAAAACACACCAGCATGTTCCTACCAGGGATTCCCTTCCCAACGCAGGCAGAAAAGCCTCTCTGCTGTGAGACTTTCAAAGCGCTCAGCTGCCTGTCCCTCTTCTGTGGTCTCCCTAAAAACCAACATGAGTTGGTTTTCCAGATCCTAAATTTTGATGCTAGGATCAGCACAGCATTTCCAGGTGGTCTGAGCCACCGCTAAAAGCACGTCAGCCCTCAAAGCCTCACATCTCTTGGTGCTTGTAGCCTTCTCCGTAACACTTCAGCATTTCCAGCAGCTTTTTCATCTACTAACTACAAATCCCAGCCACTCCCTGCACAGTCTCACGGGCTTAAATTCACCTAGGATTCAATCTGTAAAGAAAAAAAGAAGGATTTAGCCAAACTGTGACCTGTTTAAGGCCAAAAGTAGAGATGACTTTGCATAACTGCCCTGGGAGAAGCAATGAGCACCAGCAGCTGAGCAGGGGAACCCTACAGAAGTCTGTTAATACTTATTTTAAGCTTTTTTTTTCACTGCTGCACTAGCACTCTTCTCTCACATGCCCAAGCCATGCAGCAGCTGCGTGGAAGGTGCAGGGTCAAATTTAGGCAGGTTGCATTCCCAGAAAAAACGAGTCTGTGCCATAACCCACACAGGGCAACGTGCTCAGCACCCCGGGGGCTGCTACTGAAACGCAGCCTAGCGCTTGCTTCATGCAAGTCACGCAGGGGGCACCCAGCACAAATATAAATTAAAAAAACCCCCCTCAGGGTTTTAGTCGGGTTTCTTCGCCCTTCCCTGTTCTGATCTCATGAACTGCTGCGGAGTTAAGTGGTAAAGCACGAGGCTCGGAGGAGAGATAAAAGCTGGGCCACCTCCTGCCAGCGGTGGGTGGGGTGGTGGGGAAATCCCAGCATTGTGGAAATTTGGTAACTGCAGATGCTCACCTTCAGCTGCTTGCTTTTTTAATTTAATCTTTTTTTTTTTAAAAAAAAGCAGGTTTGCTTCTCTCCTCCCCCACCAAAACGTTACCCAAATCGAGGGCTTGCTAGAGTGCAAAGATGTCTTTATGTTGATCTGTTTATTACACTGTATGCAAAGAACAAACTCCCACTCTGGTCATGTCTTTATGGAAAAAAAAATAAAATTAATCACGCAAACCTTTCTTCTTTCTCTCCTTTTTCAGACAAAACATCCACATTAACACTGCTGGATTGACTCTACCTCTCCATGCTTGCTATGAGTTTCATGTGCCACCTTGCATAGCAGACACCCAAGAGCTTCCAGAGTGGATCTCCAGCACTGTGGGCCATGCTTTCCAAAATCCTCATCCCTTCCTGTACCAGACCTGGTCCACACCAATTTCCCACTGCACCCAGTCCCAGTCCCTCCACTGCCCTCCAGGTTTCCTCCATCCCATCTCCCCACCAAGGACCTGGATTTGCTGTGAGGCTCCTTTCCTTCTGTTTGCCATTTACCTTGATCACAAAACAAAGATCATATCCAAGACATCAAAACCATCAGTTGTGCCAACCACACAAACGCTCAATCTTTTACCAGGTGAAACCCACAGCATCTTGAAAACTCTTTGAGCCTCACAGCTGGAAGCAGACCTTGATTTCTGGGAACACAAAACCCTCTGCAGTTCTGGGATGCTGCTTGAGTAAAAGCAGCATTCTGGCTGGTGTACAGATTACAGCCTTTGAAGGTTTATCATGAATTACTCTTTTTAGGAAAGGGTGAGGACCCTTAAAGCACTGTCCAGCATGAAGACACTGGACCATTTCTAGCTTTCACTGCAGTAACCCATTTAAGGTGACACTCACACTGAGCGATATTGGCCTACAGAGTAAGTGGCTTTTCTGAAAGCTTCGCCTAAGCAGCTTTCCCAGAGAGGAAACTGCTACTTGGGTGCTGTGTCAACCCTCCTCCAAATCAGATAAAGGACCAACTTGCTGACAAACAAATCATTTATAGGCGGCTTCTTCGACCGTTAAGTGGAAGAGATCTCATTGCCAGTGAGGAAGGCAGAGCAAGCACTGGGCTCTTCAGCCTTTTTTGTGGCTGTTTCCTCATTCTGCGTGCTAAGGAAAAGCACACGCTGGTTCCTATGCCAAATGTTTTGAGGTTCATGGCCCAAAGAAACTCTCTCCTTGTGTAACATCCAGTTTGGGCTGTTAGCACAGGTTCTGCAGGAAGCAAAAAGACTTTACAAATAAATAATTTAACACAGAGCAGATGGATCTCTAGGATTTCACTGTTAAGACACAAAAAAAATACCTTTAGAAAGGCAGAAGTGTTCTTACCAGTCCTCATCCCCTCAAAAATCAGAGTATAATGAGTTTTCTGCAAGCTTTTCAACTTGTACTTCCTGAAGAGAAATGAATTTTCAGTGAAGCACACACACTTGAAAAACTGATGCTTAAACCGAAACGACATTGGAGTCTCCATCATCCTCCAGAAATGCACTGTTTAGGTATGAACAGTGGATATAAATACCAAACACAATGAAAAGCTCTGTGGAGAGGCACAGATCTCAATGTTCACATAACGCTATACATAATAAAATAATTCAGTTGACATTTTAAAACTCGGTGCCTGTTATTACAGGATCAAATATCAAAGAGCCAAAACCTTAGGGTCTTAATTCTCAAAAGCTTCACAGCACTCTCAGGGTCACCAGCCCATCCTCGATTTCTATAGCCCTGAAGCTCCAGACCGTTTTTATTTAGGCACTGAAATGCAAAACTGAAAGCCTCACTGAAATCGCCCTATTTTGGAAACTTGAGCAACACAGCCCTCATTTTAATGTAACAGTGAATAAGTTTGCTGCTTTCTCTACTGTGTCAAGCTAGGTTTTGGGAGCAATTCACTCTGCAAATGGATTTACAGGTGATTAGGTCCTGTTCAACGCTGCGTTTCTGTATAGAAGAATAAGAGCTGTGAGCACTGCATCCACAGGAGCTGTTTCCTTGGCAAAGAAAAGCAAGGCTTCAGGAGAAAAACTGACCAAAAATGCCTGTGCATAGGGCAAAAAGAAAAGCTCTTGTGCAACCAATCTGCAAGGCTTCGTATGAAGGCGCTGTTTTGCAACATCAGAGGAAGTTCGCTCTCATTGATAAGGTGGCGGTTGGTAAACCATCTCACC